GTTCCCTCGTGAGATTTCGACCTGACATTTAAAAATGCATTTGACATATAAACGGCAACAGCAGCTAAAAAAAAGGTAATGACAACTTTGCATAAGTGATGCCAAACCGATGGAGAAAATCACAGGCTGCCCTCTGCGAGCTCGAGAGATTTAGCCTCAGCATTGCCAAGCCACACACACACACACACAGATCTCTGCCACGTTTTCTACCACACACTCATTATACCTAAAGCAAACACTGGCAATGGCGTGGCAGGTCAATTAAATACAGAGGAAGAAGATGCCAACTGCAAACCCAAAGTGATGAAGAGGAGAAGTGTGTGCCACTGCAGTCCAATCTCAATCATAGAGCATTACACACAGCTTTTCTACATTTGTTAAATACCAGAATGTCATTTGAAACGTTAATGGGGAATATTTTAAACTCATTCTGCACATATTAGCTCTCATAGTGGCTGATTATCTTGCCTTCTAATATTGCCATGCATAAAAAAAAAATCATGCTTTGTTCATCACATAAGTTAAAAAGTCAAAATTATGATAAACGAATTGACAATAAATTGACAAAAAGGTCATAATAATGTCGATTTATATTTTTTTGTCATATTTATGACTTTTTATCTCATTTTGTCAATTAAGAGAAGTTCCTTTTTTTAGCATTTATTTCTTTTCTTTTATTTAATTATTTTGACTTTTATCTTAGAATGACTTAGAATGACATAATTCAGACTTTTCATTTCATAATTGACTTTTATGTCAAAATTCTGAGAAACTATTAACTATTTTTTGTCATATTTATAGTTTGAAACATTAATGGGGAATATTTTAGCCTCATTCTGCACATATTAGATCTCATAGTGGCTGATTATCTTGCCTTCTAATTTTGCCATATATAAAAAAAATCATGCTTTGTTCATCACATAAGTTAAAAAGTCAAAATTATGAGAAACTAAGTTATAAAATAGACAATAAATTGAAAAGAAATTGACAAAATGTTCATAATTGGTCATGATAATGTCGATTTAGAATTTTTTTTGTCATATTTATGACTTTTTATCTCATTTTGTCAATTAAGAGAAGTTCATTTTTTGCATTTATTTCTTTTCTTTTATTTAATTATTTTGACTTTTATCTTATAATGACTTAGAATGACATAATTCAGACTTTTTCATCTCATAAATGAATTTTATGTCAAAATTCTGGGAAACTATTAACTATTTTTTGTCATATTTCTAGTTTTATCACATTATTTTGACTTTTTAACTTAGAATTATGACTCAGAATGCTATCCTTCCGACTTAAAATTGAGAAATTGAAAAAGTTGAAATTGACAGTCCTAACTAGTTATAATTATGACTTTTTATCTTATAATTAAGACTTAGAATGCAGTCATTCTAACTTTGTTTGTAGTTCATGCCAAAATTATCCATAATTTCATTAGCCATGATTACGATTGATCTTGTATGAAAATGTTTTTTTTTTCTCCCTGAAGTGCCAGAAACGGCTTCCAAAGGGAAAAAAAAAAAATCCAATATGAAGAGAAACATATTTTCGTCATCCAAGTATTGATACAGTTCAATACAACCAAAAATGTAACATTATACAAGTATTACATTGTTAGTTTAGCATCATATTAACGCTATACCGCACATATATTGCAGACAAAACTGTCTGGTTTTTTTTTTTTTGGTTTTTTTTTTTTTTTTACAAATCACAGGAACATGGAGTACAGTGAAAATAGAAAGCAATACCCATAGGTCTTGGAGACTTACATTTCTTTTGTCCCTTTAAACTTTGATAAGCCCTCCTACAGTAGTGCATGCTGGGAGATGTGAAGTGTCCCAACTAAAAGAACAAAAACAGGCCAACATCAGCAGCATTCAGACAGAAACACTTCACAGACTCACCATCTGAAGAGCGATCAGGTGTGTGTGTGTGAACAGTGAAGGACTCTTCAGGTTAAACACACGACTGAAAGGCTGAAGGAGCCGAAAGTAATTGAAAGGGTTTTAGACTGACATGAAAGTTAAAGAGTGACGAGGAGAGTTCATTAAGAATCTCATTATTTTTAATTGGCTTGGTTAAATGTATAGGAATGGGATAATGAGCCGACACGCCTCTTTACGTTTCTTTCTCTGTTTCATATGTTTCTCAACTCACAACTGCTTAAATACTAACTTTCTCAAAACACAAACTTTTCTTAGGATCTTGAAAGGCAACACTGTATAGATGTTTCTTCAACACATGGTTTGTTCTAAACCATCTAAAATGAATTCAGCTTAAACCACTTCTGTATAGATACCATACCAGTCTGATATATAATCACATTTTTTTTTAAACTTCATATTTGTAAGCTTTTGATCAACATTCATGGTTAACTTTAGCTCACAGGATTGATATCACTATTATTTGCACACACCTCAGAACAGTATCCCACAATGCAATGCGTTCAACTAGACAGTTAACCACTATTCTCTTTTTTCATCTCTTTCTTGACTTTAATCCAGATTGCCAAAAGTTAAGAGAATTTAACACAAAATTAGATTGAAAATGCAAAATAACCATTTCTGAGATGATTGTATGCCAATCACTGAATTAAACATGCAACATATATAGTGAGGCCTTGTGACAACAATGTAGCTGTTTTTTATTTTAGTCCTGTACATTACTTCTTCACATGTATAAAGCATACAGTAAACGAAGCTCAGGAACACAGCGCCACAGAGGAAAACAGCAAAACACTCTTACAGTAACACAAATAGCTGTAAACACAGAAAGCTAAATTAACCATATCAACCACCACGCCATAAATTTAAAGGAAAATGGGGGAAAACTATATTAATATCCCTTCCAAAAATGACTCCAAAGAGGTTTGTTTGGGAGAAAGGCTAGCACTGTTCAGTTCTGTGTTCTACATGCCAAAACCAATGGTTTAAATTCACAGGTTTGGCTCAAGTCTTCCATCTGCTGTCCTCAACAGAAACTACAATGTTTAAAGTCAGACTATATTTAAAAGGTTCATTAGTTAATATACCAACTAACATGAAACAACAATGGGCAATACATATGCATTTATTAATATTTGTTAATAACAATACAGCTGTTGTTTTTTATGTTAACTCAGTGCATTAACTTATGTTAAATGTTAAAATTAATATAACTAGGTTATTAAAAGCTGCAGAATTATTGGTCCTTATTGTTAATTCTTAGTTCATATTACCTAAGGGGGTTAACTAACTAATGTTAAAATGCCCTTTAAATGAATGCCACCCGATGTCTACTTGCATTGCTTAAAACGACTGAAATTATGTGTATGTTTTAATAGTGTTAATAGTTTTAATAGTGAAATGCTTCTCCTGAAGATACATCTAATAGATCCTTCTTGTTTTTACAGAAAATGCTATCAGTTGAGTAAAATACCTCACCTGTTGAGTAATAAAAACGTGTCTTCGTGTCACTTTTACAGCATTTCAAATCCCTCAGTTGTCGTCATCTTCAAAAAAAAAAAAAAAAAAAAAAAAAAAAAAAAAAAAAAAAAAAGCCAAGCCAAAGTTGTTTCTGGTTTTATTACAGCTCTTTCGCATTGTCTTTTTGTCTTTTCTTCTGTTTGGCGTTTTTTTTTTTTTTGTTTTGTTTTTTTTTAAATGGGTGATTCCCCAGAGGTCCGAGATTTAACTTGCTCTGTCAATCTTTCTCACTCGTTGTGACAACTAACATGGTATGTCACTCCCACACCACAAACTTTGAAAGAAATGCTGATTTCACGCAGCCGTCATTTTGAAATGGCTCCGGTGGGAAGAAAACCGGAAGTGTCGCTTTAATGGCATTTGTTGTGTTTAATTAAGAAATTAGTTATTCTAAAAATGTACATACATTTCTTTCATAGTTTAGACTATATACAGTGACATTTATAAATACATTTTTAAATAGGCCTATACATTCAGAACATAAAACAATAATTAGGACTATATACATATCCTATATTGGATATTAACATCTAATGGTTTAAATCGCGGCAGCAGCTTCAGGTTGGTAGTCCAAGACATTTTTGTCTATCTGTACTTCCGGGATTCTTCCCATCGGAGCCTCGCTTTCGATTTCAAAATGGCAGATGCGTGAAATCGACGTATTGTTCACTTTTCTATTTTCGCATATGACCACACATTCACAGGCGAGTGTCGTATGTGCAAAATTTCCCGCGAAAACCACCCCGACAGGTGTACAATATAAAAACTAATAGGCACACCATAGTGAATCTACTATATGTTATCTTTAAACAAACATTTAGTAAAAAATCGTCACCGTGACTTTCTTCCATAGAACAATAAAGCAGATTTTGAAAAATGTACTGGTTGTTTTTTCCATGCAATTACAATTAATTGAGTCTGGAGCTGTTAAGCTCCAAAATATATCCAAAATCATAATATAAGTATTATAAAAGTAGTGCTATGAGTTGTGTGCTATATGCCAAGTCTTCTTTCTAAACTTTATTAAGTTTATTCTAAATTTAAAGGTGCAATATATTAAAAAAAAAGCTATTAAAACAAATCACCAATTTGCATGATATTGCTTTTAATGGTGATGTTCATTGGAAAAATAGAGCACAATATAATTGTAAAAAGTATTGACAGTTTGAGACCCGTTTTCAAATAATTCCAGCAGATTATAGTTGAAGTAAAGGTCTTGAGAAACACTGCATGCAAGATATTGTGATGATAGTCAGTCTGGAGGTTGTATTCACCCAAAGATGAGGCTCACCTTAAAACTAGATGCCTAAAATATTGGCCAGCAGTTTAACCCTATATTGGCATAGTGTTTTTGTGTCAATATAGAACAAGTGACAAATAAACGAGAACACAAATTATCCTTAAATTAGTAAACCATGTCACCCATGAAAATCGGAGCACAGATATCACATGTACTATTTCAGACTATAATTACGAGAAGATGAAGACAAGGACAGGAAGATAAAGTGGACATCACAGGAAACAACAGGCGCATTTAGTGAAATAATAACTTTTTTTTTTTTTGTAACTTTTGCATGACATTTTTTTTTCATTCCACACCAAACACTAAACAAGGCCATAGAGCATCAGCAGAATGAATGAAGCATCTCTCCATTTCCATTCTCAATGCTAGAATAACTTGCATATGATTAAAGGTGTTAATATTTCAAGAGAAGCTAACTTTAGAAAAAAAGAAGCCAGAGACCTATATGCCAGAAAAAAAAAGAAACATAAATATATTTTTTAATGTGAAAGATTATTTTCTAATCCTATAAGAATGATGAACAGCTTAATCGATTACAGCTAATCAGGAGCCCTGGCAATTAATTTGCATTCTCCCACTGAAATCTCCAAAGAATAACATTAATGTACATATACGGCAGGTACAAATGGCAACGCGAGATGACCTGTCCTCATTAGCCGATAGGTGCTTTCTCTGAACTGTCTTAGTGTTTCACCGCAGGTCATTTTTAGGAGAGCCAGAGCAAAAACCAGATCACCCCTTCACCAGCTCTGATTAAATAACACACTTCAGATGACCGCTAGCGTGTTCATTTCATTCGCAGGAGGAGACCCGCTCAATGGACTGGTGAAATGAGCAGGTGTGACTGTTGACTAGGAGTTAAATACATTAAGCATGGTTCACTTTGGGTACAGCAACGTCTCGTGTCGGTTTCGGACCAGAATTCCCTCCACCAGATTCTCACTCCCAGTTCTCCCAGTCTGCATCTTCCAACTGGTGAAGACATTAAAATAATAATAAAAACCAAATTTATAACTGGTATTAACATTCATCTCAGTGAACATCACAAATGGAGAGCGAAAACCATGTATGTTTTGTCATTCGGATGGGCTCAGATATGCATATGACCACACTGCACTGTGTGAATGCTAATCTATCCTGATGCGTCACATGTCAATGACTTAAGCGCTAAAGCAAGAACTGTGAGCACATGCACAAGACACCATAGTATATGTGAAACTTGGGTAAAGGCATCTACCAAATTACACATCTGGAGTTCGGTTTACATGTGTAAGCGACTACAACAACACTCAGTATTCCACTCAAAATGCTGTTTCCGATGAAGCTAAAATAAGTTAATAAGGAAAGAAACAAGCTAGAAAAATTCCCATTTGATGTGCAACAAATCAAAAAAGATAAAACCACTGCGTCCAACTGATTTTGGGTGTGTAGATCTGTAGAAATATCATTGCTTTCAAATGAAAAGCAACGGTCAGAAAATAAAATAGATATTATTCCGTATTAGGAGTCGGCGACACGACCAAAATCTTATTTCACAATATGAGAAATTTGATTTCACAATAAATTTGATTTCACAATATGAGAAATTTTACTTCACAATAATGATATACTGTATATCACAATCTAGTTTTTTTTTTTTTTTTTACATAAATTAAACAAAAGTAATACAATAAAAGTGTCAATAGTGCTGTGCTATGCTTATATATATCTACATACCATGATATAGCTAAATATTTTATACCGTCGCCACGATATATAGAGTCATACCACCTAATATTTATTATTCTGTTTTGTTCCTAAACATGGTATTAGGGTCTTTGTCATTTCTAGTTTATCGTTAACCATCATAAAGGACAAACCTCTCCCGTTGCGTCTATTTTTGACAAAGCCATCTGAACCTCCTCCTCTGTCATATCCAGATCAAAATCCTTCTCCCAGTCTTCACTCACATCTGTACTCGAACCTACATGTGTAAACACACACAGTGCAAACATTACATCAGACAAGATTTCAAGATCTCTTATGCTCACCAAGGCTGCATTTACTTATAAAAACTAATTTCACTTAACTGTTTTCTATTTCAATATATTATAGAAACATTTCTGATTATCATCAATTTTGAAAACAGTTAATATTATTGTGGAAACGGTGATTCTTTGTCAAATAAAACAGTGTTTGTTTGTAAATGTCTTTACAGTCATTTTATCTGATGCATCCTTCCTTGCTGAATACAAGTATTCATTTCTTTAAAAAAAGCGTACTGACAAAAATTTGTAACGGTAGTGTATGTTAAAACGTTGCAATGCTGGTTGCTTTAATGTTAAACAAAAAGTAAAAATAAAAATTTGATCTATTACTTGTCAATACCAGACCTTGACCAAAAATGTACAGTATGCACATCATAACATTATTTCTACCAAGGGGTGCATCACTTTTTGTTAAAGGGATACTACACATTTTTGGGAAATAGGCTCATTTCACCACTCCCCCAGAGTTAAAGGGTTAGTTCACCCAAAAATGAAAATTAAGTCATTAATTACTCACCCCCATGCTGTACCAACCCCGTAAGACCTTCGTTCATCTTCGGAACACAAATAAAGATATTTTTGATTGAATCTGAGGGCTGGATCACTCTTCCATAGACAGCCTGAGGGACTGCTTCTTGACGGCCCAGAAAGTGATTAAAAGAAAAGGTTTAAATATTCCATGTGCCTACAGTGGCTCAACTATAACTTTATCAAGCGACGAGACTACTTTTTGTGCGAAAAAAAAACGTAAATAACGACTTTATTCGACTTTCCATTACTTCCTTATGGGCGCATGCGCGAGAACTGAGACGAGACCGTTCTTCTTCGACTACTTTTTGTTACCGGCTGCTCACCGCTTAGGAGTTTTACCGCCCCCTACCGTATAAGATGACGTACTGCTTGTAAACAGAACGTTTTGCGCCTCCGGCTATATCAGTACGTCATCTTATACGGTAGGGGGCGGCAAAACTCCTAAGCGGTGAGCAGCCGGTAACAAAAAGTAGTCGAAGAAGAACGGTCTCGTCTCAGTTCTCGCGCATGCGCCCATAAGGAAGTAATGGAAAGTCGAATAAAGTCGTTATTTACGGGGTTTTTTCGCACAAAAAGTAGTCTCGTCGCTTGATAAAGTTATAGTTGAGCCACTGTAGGCACATGGAATATTTAAACCTTTTCTTTTAATCACTTTCTGGGCCGTCAAGAAGCAGTCCCTCAGGCTGTCTATGGAAGAGTGATCCAGCCCTCAGATTCAATCAAAAATATCTTTATTTGTGTTCCGAAGATGAACGAAGGTCTTACGGGGTTGGTACAGCATGGGGGTGAGTAATTAATGACTTAATTTTCATTTTTGGGTGAACTAACCCTTTAAACAGTTGAGTTTTACCGTTTTCGAATCCATTCAGCCGATTTTCTGATATTTAGAAGAATATCAGTAACCAGACAGTTTCTGGTCTCATTGACTTCTAGGAAGAAACTTAATATGTCGCAGCAAGGGATTTGCTAATATTCAAGGATTGCTGGATAGGGTCTCCGATCTCCGCAATCTCCGATCTAGAGTTCTGGGCCAGTCTCGTCACGATACCGATCGGATCGGGACATCCCTAGTATTTTATTTATTGATCTATACAGTTAGTACAAATTATTGTGGGGGCTTCCTCACCTTTTTTGCCATTATTGGAGGGTGTGGATTTGCCGCTGTCCGAGTTGAGCTCAAACACTCGGAGGTCTTGAGCCATGTCCTCTCTGGCGGGCTCTTCACGCTGCGCGGGTCGCTCCTCCGGGACCGTCTCCTGTAGACTGGCCTCTGAGAGTTTCTGAGAGACCTCATCATCAGCGTGGGACAGCTGCGTGACTCTGATGGTGACCGAGTCTGCTTGATTCTCAATCTGGGTGGGGAAACTGACGCTCTCACTGCTTACGGAGGGGGTGACGTCAGATGCTACGTTGCTGGAGGAAATCACCACTTGAGGAGGAGAGGAGCTTTCAGGGGTCTCTATCGTCACCGCAGGGACACGTGCCTCCTCCACAGGGGGTGTGAAATCTAAGCGAGATGAAGACACGGCCCCAAGAAACTCACCTGCGGATAGAGAGAGAAAAGATGCTGATAAAGGAACACAAATGCTCTGTTTGAGCTTCCTACCAAGCAGACGGACAGCAAGGCAGCTCACAAAGTTTTAGAACGGACACAAAGGTTTAGCTAGTCAATATGTTTCACACTTTCCCATAAAAATTCAGTCAAACCTTCTTCGTCCTCTTCCTCCCAGCCAAGACTCTCAGAAGTCTTGCGCTCTGCTCTCTGCTTCAACGCGACCCTCCTAGCCTCTTCCTGAAAACACACACACACATATTTTATGATATACAAAATGTTCTTGTGCCATTATACGAGTATAGACATGTTAAAGGGAGCTGTGCAAGCCCTAAAACAGCAAAAATATTCAATAAATAACATTGTTTTTATTAAAAATGGTCATAACATAAACAATAATGGCACAATTAAAACAAAGCATATTCATGAACACTTTAATGCTAGAAGATATAGACCCTGGAATGTTTTATTTATCCAATTCGTTTTTTTTTTTTCATAATGGCGAGTAAATGATGGCAGAATTTCATTTAGAAGTGAACTGTCCCTTTAAATAAAACAACCACTAATGGTAATCAACACAATATTACTGAAAAGTAACAGAAAATGTTTAACCATTTGATTTGATTATTTGGGTTAATCCATGGTTATTTCCATAAAATGTGTTGCTTGAATTCGATTGGGGATCTAGATTTGGTGGATTTTTACAAATGAAAATATGTGATTTGTATTTGTTGTAATTGTAATGTTGAGCTGTATTTGGGCAAATAAATAAATGTGTAACAGAATAAGTAGCATTAAATCCTAAACTTAATGCATTGCGATGCATAGATCCATTTTTAGACCAATCAGAAGGCCGTAGCAAACTTTTTAGAGGCCAAATTACGACTAATTAATTAATTGATTAAATTGAGAATATAATTGTGTATATAATTGGTTAAATTGTGTAAATAATCTATCTGCAATACTACTGCAATCCTATTATGTTTTTAAAAATCCCCACAACAACTATTGTTGTTATACAGTTCTTGAAACTTCTGTAATCACACAATTAATTGTAGTTGCTTAATTTATCTCCCAGTTTGCTAATTGTGTTGGCCTTTGAATTAAACAGGTTGAGAACCACTTCTCTACACATACTGCAAACCTAGCGTAGATGCACACTCTGATCAGCAGATGGCGCTACCATGTTAATCTTTAACTGACTGGATGTGTTTTTGATAGCGCACCTAAAACAAAAATGAAACCTCAGCAAAGAAAGTGTTGTGCTGGCAAGTATCCAGTGACTCATACTGATGTCGTCATGTTGTTTGAGTGTCTGAGCTGTGTGTGTTCAGATAAGCACATAATCCTGAATTCTCATCAGACACAGATCTGCTGTACCTGCTCCAACTGGAACACTTTATAGAAGTACCGCTGCCAGAACTCTGAATGAGCCACTGCTGCTGGCACCTGACATGAAACAAAAAAATGATATCTTGAATAACGTGCCCAGACAAAATCAGATGGTCAATAAGAATGTAAATTAAAGGAGGATGAAGCATGATCACACCATTTTAGTATAAAGAGCTCTTATGGCAGGACTGTTAACCAGCAGTTCAGAGATCTCTGCCTTCCTCTCTTCTAAAATGAAACCGGAGAGCCAGGAATCAAACTGTTGTGGGGGGCCTGGAAAGACAAAAATACATGCAATTAGGGCTGGGCATTGACACAAATTTCAATTTTCACAAGCTTTCGATATGATTCGATTCAATTAGGGCCTATCAGAAGTATTATAATATTAACAGAATTTTAAAAAGCTGAGACTATCATATCAGAAGGAACAAAGCTTATTGCGATTTATTGGATGGGAGGTGCTATCAACTGAAAACAGCATAGAAAGATTGATTCATTGGTTTTAAGAATCGATATAGGTTCTGCTATCAAAATGAGAATCGATTAAAATTGAGAACTCGATATTTTTAACTAAGCCCTACATGGAATACACATCAAACACTTGAACTTGAACACACATCCCTGCTTGAGAAAGAGACAACATGAGGCAGAGACATACCGTCGGGCTCATTGCAGTATGTAGCAGGGTCTGCTTGAAGACTGTAGAGTCGAGCCTGAGAGGAAAACCAGAGCATGTCAATCAAAATCATGAAATACTGACACTCTATTGTACTTTATCGACAAGTTAATAAAAATACAATAGCAAGTGATTCAACAAATAATATTTGTCATAGCTATGATGGAACAATTAAAGGAGTAGTTCACTTTAAAAAAAACTTTTGCTGATAATTTACTCACCCCCATGTCATCCAAGATGTCCATGTCTTTCTTTCTTCAGTCGAAAAGAAATTAAGGTTTTTGATGAAAACATTCCAGGATTTTTTCCATATAATGGACTTCAATGGGGTCCAAACGGTTCAAGGTCCAAATGAGAGTTTCAGTGCAGCTTCAAAGGGCTTTAAACGACACCAGATGATGAATAAGGGTCTTATCTAGCGAAACGATCACTCATTTCAAAAATAAATAAAAAAGTTTAAGTTTTCTAAGCACAAATGCTCACCCTGCTCTGTTCTGTGATGAGCGTTTGTGACTCTCCTGTTCAAACTCGTTCATCAAAATCTTTTTTTGAGTCATGACTCGAAGGGTCCTAGATAAGACCCTTATTCATCATCTGCCCTTTGAAGCTGCACTGAAACTCTCTTTTGGACCTTGAACCGTTTGGACCCCATTGAAGTCCATTATATGGAGAAAATCCTCGAATGTTTTCATCAAAAACATTAATTTCTTTTCGACTGAAGAAAGAAAGACGTGGATATCTTGGATGACATGGGGGTGAGTAAATTATCAGCAAAAGTTTTTTTTAAAAGTGAACTACTTCTTTAACCTCATTATCATGTGCCCCATCACACACACATAACATATATATATTTCTAAAGAGTGAATGTGGCTGACCTTGCCGCTGTCATACACCTCTGTTGTGCCTGAAGGAGTGGCCACCAGCGTGATGACATCACAGTCGATAGTCATGTCTTGGGGAGGGGCCAAAGTGTCTGTGATCACACCCAGTATATTTGAAAGGCCCTTCTTCACCTTTTCCGTGGCCTCTGATGAACCTTCAACCTAAAAAGAAGAAGCTTAACCTATAATCTTTGGCTAGAGCTTACATCTAAAAAAACAAACCTAAAGACATGTTATGTCTGCTCTAAGCACTGAAGACCAAACACTATACAATTAGCATTGTTTTGGTGTGATGTAATGTAAAATTGTTTCCTTACGGCCAGTTTGCTTTTAACAGCGTTCGCTGTCGCAACAATGGAGCATGTCGTGTCATGTTGGACCACGCTGGAGAATTCTGTCAGGTCTCGTTTGATAAACTCATACGCCTCTGCTGACTGTCGAGAAAACAGAATATATACATGTATGAAATATAAAACAAGAAAACAAATGTAATAATTATGGTGGGGTCCAGAAATTGGGTTCCATATTAAATATCTGGGATTTATCTTTAATAAATAAACCGTTTTAGATTTAAAATGAAGGTTATTAAGACAGAATTATAATTAAGAAATCATTTTTCTACACTAATAAAGCAAGAGGGGAGTGAATATAAGAAATTTATGCTGATTTTC